CCGTGACTTCTCCTCCACAGTCAGTTTTTACCACACAGACAGGTCCTGTCTATGTCAGCTCAGGTGGCATAAACTTGTACACATAGTCCTCAAAGACATAAGGAAAGGGGGAATAGAATTTTAGAGTTCCAAACCTCAGATAAGGACCCTGACATGTATGTTTATATGCCTGTATTTGTATGGCAATGTCCAGTCTTGACTGAAAGGATTGAATTACAACCTAAGATTGTAAGTACAGATACATGTACATACATGTACAAGAAGTCTCTGACAGTATAAATAAATGGAGATGAGAGATTGATTTAAAATAATCAAGAAATTCTAAATGAACAAAATGTCAGTCTTTCAGGAAGTAAGCAAGAAGGTGGTAAAATGTGTTTACCTTGGAGTTAATTGTCAATTTTGGGGCCAATTCTCAGATAACCAATCACCTGCTTCCTTCTCACAGAGAGATTGCTGGCAGTGATCTGGTCAAGGAGAATCTGATTCAGCTGAGATGTCACTTCACATGGCATCTGCTTTTGGAAGACATTGACATACCTGATTTGGAAATGAGGATCTCTGAGGAGCTTGAATTCCTAGACATCAAAAACACAGTGAGGATGCTCAACCTCAGGGCCTATGTGAAACACCTGAAAGGGCAGCATGAGGAAGCCCTGCAGAGCTTGAAAGAAGCAGAAGCCTTGATCCAGGGAGAGCAGTTGGGCAAAAGAAGCTTGGTGACCTGGAGCAACTGTGCCTGGGTGCATTACCACATGGGCAGCTTGGCAGAAGCCCACACCTACCTGGACAAGGTGGAGAACACATGCACGGAATTGGGCAGTCCTTTCCAGTATAGTATGGTGTGTGCCGAGACGATCTGTGAGCATGGCTGGGCCTTGTTGAAGTGTGGAAGACAGAATTATAAACGAGCCATGACCTGCTTTGAAATAGCTCTGACAATGGAGCCTGAAAACCCTGAATACAACCTTGGCTATGCACTTGTAGCCTATCACTTAGACTTTGAAGACGATATTATCTTTCTAGAATTCCTAAGGAAGGCTGTCAGGTTAAATCCAGAAGATCCGAATATTAAAGTGTACCTTGCACTGAAGCTTCAGGATATAGGATTAGCAGCTGAAGCAGAAACACACATTGAAGAAGCCCTCAGTAGCACATCCTGCCAACACTATACATTTCGCTCTATAGCCAAGTATTACCGAAGGAAAGGCTGCATAGACAAGGCTCTCCCTCTGCTACACAGGGCCTTGCAGGCGTCACCTGCCTCTGGCTACCTGCATTACCAACTAGGGCTCTGCTACCATAGACGAGTGATGCAACTGAGGACATCCACCGATAAGCCGGCCCAAAGGCAGGCTGCACAACAGGCCATTCTTGAATTTCAAGAGGCTGTGAAACTCAGGCCTAGATTTGAGATGGCTTATGTTGGCATGGCAGAAGTTCAAGCAGAAATCGGCCAACATGAAGAAGCAGAGGCAAATTTCCAGAAGGCGCTGAACATGAAGGAACTGTACAGGAATCTTGAGTGTCACAAAGAGCAGGATATTCATTTACGCTATGGC